AATTCGGGAAGAATTTGTTTTGTTTTGCTTCATTTTGTTTGTTGTTTTGTTTTGGTATTTTTTGTTTGGTTTTTACGAGCTAGTTCCCCTTTCTAAATTTCAATGGTTCAAACTGACCACAGGCAGTCTTCTTAGTTTTAGTAAGGTTTTACGGCGCTTGCTACTTCATAAGGTCATTATATGAGCGCCAAGCGGTGGATGTCAACAGAAAAGTCCAATCGAGGAATCAGATTTACACGGCTCACCTCTCTAAGCTCAACAGCACTAAGTCTGCTTCGACTATCAAGGCACCCCGGAAATAGAAGTTCACAAGAGAGTGACAAACATACAAAAGAAGTAGAGGAAAAATGACGATAGTAAAAATTAGGAATGAAAAAGCAGCAGTTCCCCCTATGTTGTTCCGGCACAGTGTGAGCATGACATTGATAAATCAGCCCATTTACAATTCTACTGTGCATAAGAAAATCTCTTCATTAGGGCCTATGTGATTTTTTTTTTTCACTGTGTGCATGCTGCTAGTGCTAGACTGACTTATGTGTTTATTTAAACTATGTTTACTGCAAGTAAGATGCTAATTGTAATTGCTCCCCAACTGTTTTGGGTTTTTTTTGGGGGAGGGGGTCGTTTTATACAAAATTACAAGCTAGAAATATAAATTAAAATTTGTAACTAACCACAACGAGAGGTTACACTTATTCTGGCATAACCCACGGGTTTGTTAGGGGGCTCTCGTGGAGGAGAAGTTAAGGTGTTCGCCTCTCAATCAATAGGTCCCGAATTCGAATCCGGGTAGCAGTGGAAAATTTTTTTCTCTAAAAGTATCTCTTTTCGCACCCTTTCCTGCTCTCTAACATTGTTCTGTCGTCTGCTTTCGTCTCCACTTTCTGCCCCCATCCTCTCACCCCTTTTGCCCCCTCCTCTGGACCCATGACTCTTTCTGCAGCCTTTCTACTGCTTCTCCTTGGCTACTACTTACAGCTGTCTTTCAGCCACGCCCCTGGTCTTATGATAGGTAAGATCTACGCCTAGCCTTCTCGGACAAGGGCGAAAAATCTCAGACTCAGAGGTACCTTGTGCAAGTTGTGCACGTTACAGATCCCGTGATGGTCCAAATCGATAAGAGTAGGCTTCGGCCGCCACTCGGGCAAAATTCCAAATTTCCTACCAACTGAAATTAATGTTTGGTATGTCCCGCGCGCTCATAATCATAATATAATATGACCTTATGTAGTTGCAAGCGCCGCAAAACACAAAAAATAGGGTTTGTTGCATCTTGGTCCGAGAAACAAATCGCCATGCCTAACCCGCAAAATGCCTTGTTGCATGTAGGGCTTGGGTGATTTCGCCTGCCCTTGGCGCAACTACCGACCTTCCATTGTCTTGTGTACTACAAATGCTTGTCACAATCAGTAGCAAATCATCAATGACTCATTAGGAAAAAAACAACAGCATTCAAAACTGAAACTATTTTTTTTTTATCTCCCCATTAGGCAACTTACAAACCAAGTTTTTCAACGAACATTTTTTTAAAATGCCCCTACCAGCTTCGATAAAAGAGGAAAAGAAAAAGGAAGAGGATTATAAGTCAGCAGAGAATCCAAGGAAAGGTGCTTTGTTATTATTATTATTATTATTATTATTATTATTATTATTATTATTATTATTTATTATTATTATTATTTA